CACCTTCGAGGAGTTTCCCGCATACAGTGGAGTTTCCTATTTCCCCAGGCCAGAGGTAGTTGCAAATGGTTGAACCCAGTCTGTTGAACTGAACAGACTGTTGTCACCTTTGCATCCAGAGGCTTCCAAGCCCTAAACCTTGCCTACGACCGTGACCACGTTCGCGGCCGTGGCCTTTCTCCTCCCCCTTTTCTCTTCTTTTCTTTTCCTTTCTTCTCTGTTTTTTTACTTTGTTCCCCCCCCTTTAATTTTCTGTGCAGGGGGCAACTCGTTTTTTTCGAAATGAGCATCGTCCCTCACTGTGTCATTTCTCGGAGTCGTACTAGAGTCAGGCTCAGTAGGGTCATTCTTCCCCTGCCCTACGCGCGCCTGCACCCGGTCGCGAACAACGCCAGGTTCGGGCGTTGTTGTGACTGCAGCCCGTTTCAACCAGTGAATGGGCGCGGGTAGCCAGCATCACGACCTCACAGGGGAGCCCGAAAGGAAAAAAAACGAAAGAAGAAAAGAAAAAAGCAGAAAAAAAAAAAAAAAAAACCTTACGTGAAAAGAACAAGTGATGCAGCGTATATTTCCATGTTCTAGCAGTCGATTCATTCGATTTTGCTCACCCTACTAATGATACTCAGCTCGTTCGTCAAAACGAACGGGCTTCCAAACACTCTGCATGATCAAAAGGAGAGGGGAATCTAAGCGAATTAAAAAAAAAAAAAATCTAAAAGAATCTAAAGAAGATAAGAAAAAAAAAAAAAAAAAAAAAAGCTTACCTGTTAGGCTGCCCAAAAAAACAGGTGCCTGCTACTGATTCTGGGGACTTTAAGTCCTTTCTACTTCAGTCGGCGCCACGTGTCGCTCCGTTTTTTTGTTTTCTTTTTGTTTATTCCGTTGGCTTTATCCAATGGTCACATAGTGGAACCATCCCAGTGACCTGTTGAATATGCAGCCCCGAGTTTAGGCTTGTCATCCTTGAAAGTGCAGGGACCATGCTGAACTGCGCGCGACTGAAACATCTCACCGATCGCACGATCGAAAATGGTCGCACCAAAAGGCTGGGCTGTTCCAAAAGGAGCTAGCCCAGTGGCGATGTCATCTGGGCTCGATCCCGGTATCTGTTGGGCAAAAGTCTGGTATGATATCCTACTGGGCTAGCTCCTATTCCACACTCGAATAGGAACAACTCTTCCTTATGAAGAGTTTGGCCCAACGAGGTATCGCCTATGGCCTCACGCAGGCTATGCTTGCGTGCCCCAACAGCCCCAGCCGCGCAGCCGCGCTGCTGCCAACACGGTGGCCGTCTGCAGCATGGCACGCATGCCATGGCGCGGCCACCTATTTGGCCTACTAAGGCCCTGAATGCACCACCTTTTAGGAGAGTAAGTCTAGCTTCAACATCCTCATGACCGAGTGCCTTCGCGGCCTTGTCAGATACCCCGGACAACAAGTTGTACCACCGACTGCCGCTGTTTCAATCGAACGTCAACGACGTCAGGTTCAAAAAAAAATTCAAGTCTCTCGGTCGTAGGGTTGGCCTGAATAAACTTTGGCAACGTCAACCTCATCAAGTCTCCCAATCCAAACAAAAGGGTCGGGTAGTGTCCGACACGATTCGGCACAATTCCCTCAATTCAACGAAAAGGTCGGACAACGTCTGATCTTAAGAAACTCAGGCAGGAATCCTTACCAGGGTTTCTGCTCTGACAGCCTTCCGTGCCCCCATTAAGCGACGTCCCCGTCGCTCACCGTTAGAATAAAATAACAGAAAGAAATTTTTACACTTGAATAAATCAAACGATTACGTCAAACAAAATTTCCCGAATTAATTTGGAATTTCCACATTCACATTTGTTGAGAGACGTTTCCGTCGTTCAAGTTGCTTATCTCTCTCAGCTCTCTGGACACTTATTATGAAATACTCCGTGTAAACTTTATTACTTACACTAACTTCAAACAAAGGCTTACTTTTAAGCCTTGCAATTCATTATAACCTTCCTCTGAAAGTACTTTCACTCAATCACTAGTTGGAATAGTGCTAGAAATAACCTGTGGCAGACCTTTCCCGGATATCTGGAATCCACCGTTGGTTTTACCCAACCTGACGAATTACAATAACATTTAGAAGAACGGTCCCAGCATCATCCCACTGGCGGCCACTTATTCTTCATTAGCCTCTCATAGATGGGTCAAGTTTATCCCTTTGATGGGACTCTTATCGGGTTTAACCTCCCGCTAGGCCTCGTCGGGCTTAACCCCCTGCGGGTCTTTCATTCAATCCAACCAACACATTGCCGCTAGGAATCTAACTTGGGTCTCTTATGTCCATGGGGATGCATTCCCAACACCTCAGCATGTCTCTCGCTGCCAGGAGTCTGACCTCGGCCTCCCATGTAACACAACGATACTCGCACTATACTACAACACGTGTTGTCAACCATGCCAGAGAGAAACCATCCTTCCAAAGTCCTTGTTCCTGTTCCAGCTAATCCTACTCCAACTTAATTGTCAATCACGATTTATCTCCTATGTGTTTTGCGAATGCGTCAAGGAGTAGGGTAATCCATAAGGGATAATATCTCGATGTCAAGCCTCGCTTTAGACTCGAGCCTCGCCACATTCCCTCCGATTTCAGTATTTTCGACCTCGTCAGTCTGCTGCATGTAGAGCAGAATTGTCCCACCTATCATGACCAGGGTTGACTAAGCCCTGACCATGGAGGCAAGGTGACCATTCTCGGCGAAAGGCTAGTCACTCCTCCTTTTATGCCAACAACAGTCACCTACTTTACAGGCAATGTTCTAACAAGATCTAAAACACCTTCCTCCCTTTTGACGATAGTGTAGCCACCCTCCCCCAAAGGAAAGGTGGCAGCTTGCTACTAAGGACCAGGTACAAAGTTCTGGCCCAGGCCTCACTACCGTGTACTGGGCTCACAACACAAGGATTCCTCACTGCATGGCAATTAAAACAATCAAACTCTAAGGCGTGATAAGTAACTGGATCACATGCCTCACGGATAACATGTATGTCAATCAGTCAGGCACATGGTCAAGTATCCACCATTTCCTTAGGTTCGTACAATGAATCTAATAAAACAAAAATACACAGAGCTCCATAAGAGTTCATGATCTTTTAATCGTTCGTGTATGCAATAAATACTTAATAATATAAATATCCATCAGCCATTTCACAGTGCGCTGGGAATAATACTCAACTTCTTCCAATAATCATCCAATCGTGATAAGAAACTCACAAAGTCCTTTGGTACCATTCATTTTCTTTACGAACAATTTTCAATACCTCTCATGCATAGCGACAACTATGAGAAGAATATCACAGTTATCTTACAATCGTCTGTGACAGTAAGGCAGAGATTCATTATTACACTCTAACAAAACAACAGGAATCACAATCTCATTGATGACCTTTCAATCTTGCTGTACGCAACACACATTACTTTTATTAATAACTTACAATTAATTGTGAATTGAAATCACAAATTCACCAATCATCCTCATAATTTGCGATCGCAGTTATGATCAACAATGTCTTTACTCAGAGCAAAATAAATCGCAGTATTATTAATCACCCAAAAAGTTACCTCCTTGGTTAGCCTAAGACAAAAGCCAGAACCGACTGAACTACAATACAAAAGCAAGAAAACAATTACCAAAACTGGTGCCACCAATTACCTCCCCCATTTTATTTTATTTTACTAAAAGTTCTCAGTATATTCTTGGAATGAACTTCGTAGGTGTGCACCTGATACCCAATTTATACCTCGAGCTCCATCCAATTCCTCTATCTCATACGCCCCATGTTCTGTTTTCCTAGTGATTCGCTATGGTCCTAGCCACCGACTGTCTAGTTTTCTGGACCACTGCTTTTCTAGTGACATAGAATACAACAAGGCAATGTCCCCAACTTCCAACGACTCTTTCCGTATGCGTGACCTCTTATCACATTTTTCCTTGTCAGCCTGCCTGCTTTCAGAAGTAGACACAGTCGCATCTTCAATCCGTTCTTCAGTTACCATCATCTGCGTTGCCCTCAATTCCAACAACTTGTCCGTCGAAAGCTTCATTTCCACATCCTGCCTCTGCCAAGTGGTCAGGAAGCTCTCAATTGGAAAGGTCGCATGTCGTCCAAACCACAATGTGACGGGCGCATACCCAGTTGTTCGCTTGATGGTAACATTCTCAACGAAGAAGACCGCCCTCAAATAAATTGGCCATCTTGATGGTTCCCCCTTACACCATTTAGCCAACAAGTTAGACAAGGTGGCATGTCCTTGTTCCACGTGTGCATTGGCCTGGGGATGCGCTCTTGTCGTATAACTGAAATTCACCCCAAGTCTTTTCGAAAGCGCTTGCACCTCCCCAACTCGAAACTCGCCTCCTCGATCCATAACAACCTCTTGAACAAATGGATAACGGGGGTAATATTCCTCAATGCACTCTGCCAAGGCTAACCCAGTACGTTCGCGAATGTCACAGCCATCAACGAACCCAGTCATATTGTCCCTAGCATCAAAGATATACTTGTACCCATTTATCCCGGTGACATTACTAAGAGATCCAAATGCACCACTGCACCCGATTCTGCCACATAACGTGGATTTAGGGGTTCGAGGTAGCAGATATTAGACCTCTATTGGCAAGAGAAACAAGATTTACAAAAGCCAATCCCCACCTTGCTTATCCCTTCCCAGAAATAAAAACGCTGAATCTTGTTCAGGGTTTTCCGCGCAGATCTATGTCCGCCTGCGACCCCATCATGCAGAGCAGCAATCACATCCAACTGTCACGAGGTTTCGCATACCACCCTCTTAGGGACACCATCAATAACTTTCTTAAAGAGGTGACCATTGCGAACAACAAATCCTTTGATCTTATCCCGCACAATCGGATCAACCTCGCTTTCGTCCAACTCCCCATTCAACCACATACCTATCTTCTTATGTTCCCCTTTGTACTCTCTTTCCTTAAACGCCTCTTTAACTTCACTGCCTCCTTCCTCTACATTCATTAACCTCAGGCGATCCTCATGAACTAACAAGTATATGATGAATGACATCATTCCAACGGTCTGGAAAGTGTTATCAACTTGCCTATGCCCCTATTCAATCGTTAGCGGATCAAGCACAAGGTTGATGGCATTGGTCAAGGCCAGCCTCATCATCTCTTCAGAGGTCTGCTCGCCCCATGGGTCCTCCTCGATGAAAGGCTCCTCCATCATGAGCTTTGAACGTACCTCGTAAAAGGTAGGAGCATTCCATATCGATCTCCCATGTCGAGTGGTCGCATCAGTTAAGTAGGTAAAAGAGTTCATACTCAATTGCGACTCTTCTTCCTTCAGAAACGCATCGACCGGAACTAATCCTTCTGCCTGATCCAACTCCGGATCCCATTCAACCCGACTCAACCCATCTGCGCGATTTTGACTTCCCGATATCCGCTCAATTTCAAAGTCAAACATCCAAATATAAGTCAACCATCGCGCAATGGTGGGATCAGAAGGTGAGTAATTCCTTAAGGATTGAGCCAAAGTAGTCGGATCCACCCGTAGGATGAAGCGTCTACCGAACACATAGTTCCGAAAGACTCGGAGACAATGAAGCACAGCCAAAGTTTCCTTTTTAAATTGGGAATAGTTCCTCTCAGCACCATTCAGAGTCCTGCTCTCATATCTGAGAGGTTTTTCCTGCCCCTCAACATCCTTCTGAATCAAGACCCCTCCTAGGGCTGTGGGACCCGCATCAGTCTCAATAACAAAAGGACAGTCTTTATCATCGTCGAAGAAAGGAACTCCAAGGATCAAGCCGCCCTCACGGAACTTAGTCTTTATGTCCTCCACGGTTGCTTGCTGCTCCGGACCCCATTCCGACTCTTGGCCTTTGCGTACAAGCTTCTGCAAGTGCTCCACCTTGGCGGCAAACCTGCGGATGAAGATACGCCAAAATCCATAAGTTCCAAGGAAACTCTGCATATCTGTGATTGACATGAAACGGGTCGGCCTTTCCAAAATTTTATTAGTCTTCTTCGCATCCGGCCGGCGACCTTTCTCGTCGCAAAGGAATCCCAAAATCACTGCTTTCTTCATACAATGTCGAGACTTAACCCCACTGGCTGTGAGATTAAACTCCTTCAACCTCCTAAGGACATTCACCACATCATTGATGTGTTCCCAGACAAAATGACGAATGCCCGACAACACCTTCGCCGCGTCTTTTGCACGAGGCCCTGGAATAGCCAAGTCGTCAATATATGGCGAAGTTATGTCAGGCAATAAGGTTGCATAACCCTCATTATATATCTTTGAACAATGGCGACGACATTCGTCCACCCTTGTGGTGCCACACACATATGGATCAACCCCCGAGGAGTGTGCATTGCAGTCTTGGGCCGAATAGAAAGAATGACATATACATGTCATTCTTTCTATTGTCTTATCCTTTTATATTCTAGGTAGTGCTAGGACTATTTTTGAATTAACAAAAATATCAACTTTTTGTGAAACTGACTCAAAATACGAAGAGCAATTCTCAATAAGAATAATCTTTGAAATTTGATTTTATATTGAATTGTGTGATTTTTTTTTTTATAGTTACTAGAATAGGTAGAAATTTATGTTACAAATATGACTAAGTACAAACATAGTTATAATAATACTTTTACAATACCCAGGCTCTTTAGGTTTGTTCAATAACTACAATTTAGCACACCTTTATTTGAATATAAGTCGATCAAGGTGATGATAGACCTTCCTGCACAAGATTCTGACTGTTGGTATGCATGTGGGAGTCCACCTGCATCTCGCACTGTCACCGAATTCAGTTTCCGAAGGTCATGAACCCACCGTAGAGTACCATTCGGTTTGATGAAACAGAACCATGGAGATGCATAAGGCTCGTAAGAATAATCTGCAACCTTTGTCCCGATCTTTCCATTGAGATACGCGACCACTTTACGGTGATCTTCCGGATCCGGATAACGTGGCCCTCTTACATTCCATGGCCTATGTGGTACAGTATGAACTCTGATCATGGGGATTTTGTCAACATCCAGCCTTCCTCGCTTATCATCATCAAAGGCATAGGCGAGATGTTCTTCCTTCAGCATATCGATGATATATCCCTTTTCCTGCTCAAAGGAGGTCCTCCTCCCCAATGATCATACTTTCCATTCTTTCTTTAGTTAGCCGACATGGCCCCTTTTCGCCTCTCTCCTTCATTTCTCTGATCCACTCATGCTCCTCACAATAATAGACTTCCTCCTGCTGAGTGATTTCACGCCTACCCTCTTGTATTTACGCTAGACGGCGGTGTCAAGCCAGCGTCCTCTAAAAAAAGACCCTGTCGAGTAGAGGGCAATCTCTGGTCCTCTCCCCTATTCCCCTCCGTAGGGGAGTAAACAAGGCGCATAGTTTCTGCGCTCCTGATGTCTGTGATGACCTCGGTCAATGCTTGCACCGCGTTGGGATCAATCGCTGAATATGTCGATTCCAACTCGACCGCCTGTCCAATATCCGGCAGGGTCGATGAAAACTCACGAGGATTCGGCTCCTCCTCTAGCGATTCCTTCTCCCTTCTCAGCTTTTCTGACTCCGGGAAGGTATAAGATTCCGGGTTAAACCGGTTCCATGAACAATGGGGTCCAGTGTTCGCACACTTGACCACCTCGTAGTAAGTGCAGACAGGATCGCAGAGGATCACAAAAATGGTTCCATCATGCTTGTTGATAATGATGCTTTCCGACCGACATAGAAATGCCCTTCCCAGAAGCACGGACCTTGACTTTTCCGATCGTGACGAGGATGTCACTGGCTGTCCCGCAGAATGGAGTCGATCCGCTAGCTCCTACCAAAAACCCGTAGTCGTCTCGGTTGATTTTCAACCCAGCCTCGATGGCATGGCGCTCGCGAATGATGTTCATCTCGGCCCCATTGTCGACCAGCGTCGAGTACTCCTGTTGTCTAATCTGGACCTTAAGATGGTCGATCGACACACTTCACCAATCCATCTTTGTCCCAGGTGGGGACTCGTTAGCCTCCGGCGGAATGACTTTGTCGAGCTTAACTGTCGTGACTCTCTTGCGAGTCATTTACTGCTTAAATTCCTCTCGATTCTTTGGCGACACCGCCAAAATTTCCTTCAGTGTGACCAAGTCGCGCTGACTCTGAAGGATCTTATCAATGAGTCGCTCAATATCGATCCCCTGCTCCACGGGGATTGAGTAAATGTTCTTCTTTGTACGCGGTTACTCCTCGCTTACCTCTCGGTCTTCCCTTTCTCAGGATCCCTTTCTAGCGCGCGTCGACAAGCCTATTCTTCCTCTTCGGCCCACAACCTGTCATCCTCGTTATCTTCCTCGTTTCCAGTAACAGGGATAGGCTCCTCTTCCATTGCCTTTTCGGACCCTCCTTCCTGCCGAGGCTGCTCGCTTCGTCGCCGCATCCGAGTCTGAACAACTATAGTCGGGGAATTTCTCGTTAGCACAGACCTGGGTCGCATCGTGCTTACCATCGGCGTAGTTTGCAATACTGCCCTCGGTGCAGATGTCCCCTCTTGGTCAGGCGCATCCTCCCTTTGATCACCCCATTCGCCAAAAAGGAAGACATTCGGCGATCCGGGCCAGACTTCCTCCGGACTTCCTCCATGTCCACGCAAAGTTGGACGATGGAGTCCCGGCATCGGGCAAGCCTCCCAGTGATGGTTTGCGCTCGCTCCACCACTTGTCTCCTGAATCCTTCCGGCTGTACCGGTGAGTCGTTAATATACAGTGATGCAATGGTTTCCTCAATCTCAGCCAACCACGCTTCTTCTGGGGAAGCAGTCCGGAACGCCGCCGGAAGGGAACAACCCATTCGGCGAAACGCCTCCTTCCTCATACCCCCATCAATGTTGGGGTCGATCAGATTCCCTTCGTGATCGAAGACTTCACCACGTATCGTGGTGAAGACTATCCCTTATTTCTCATCTTTTGATAGGAGCTGACAAAACCACATGATGTGACCCTTTTCTGCACAATAGTTACACGTGGCCTCCTGCTGCCACGACCAATGGCTTCGCTGTCCGTTCCCGCGGCCTCGACCTCGGCCTCGTCCGCCCTGCGGCTGGAATTGCCCTTGATCCTGGGAACTTTGTCATGCCGAACCGCCGCGAACACTGCCATTCCCTCCTTGGTTGTTTTATCCACCATTCCTCCGCTGTTTACGGGAGGTCCCCTGTCCGCCTTGAATTTGATTCAAGGCCTTCCTTTTCGCCTTTGTCAATTTACGAGGCGACTCTTCTTCCTCCTCCCTCTGACTGCTACTTTCTTCCTCCATCGGCTCTTTCCCCTTCCTCTTACTCTTTTTCTACTTGGCCAGCATGACTTGAAGCTTCAACCTTTCCTCTTTCATGCCTTCTATCATTTCTCTCATGCAGGCCAAGGTTTTGTAAATTTCACCGTCCTTCACATCTCCCAACTTTACTTTTTCTCGTTCCTCCTTTTGCTATCTCAACAACGGGTAGAGGATATCGTCAAACCTCCCCGCCAGCGCATTTTGTCGGACTTTAGTCCAGTCATACCTCCCTTGCATTCATTCAACCAACTTTGACTGCTCGACGTCGTTGAAGTTGTCAAGGAAGATAAGGCAACGATCCTTATCGGATACGTCCGGGATTAGGCGAGCCGCGCGTTCAAATTTCGATAAAAATTGTTTGGTAGCACCAAACTTCTTGCGATTCACCATCCTCATGTCCTGGAGGTCGAGCAACTGATTGCTGAGCTGGTACTTCTCCAACAGCCGTGCCTTGAAATCTGACCAATCTCGGGAGATCCGCACCAGCTCATCGATCTCGTCCCGGTACTCCACCTTGCAGTACCTTTTAATCATTCGAAACATCTTCTTGTTCATCCATTCATTGATGTACCCCAACTGTTCGAACTTGTCAACCCAAGAAGAGGAATTGTCGAGCGCATCGGCCCTCGTGCAAAAACGAGGGCCCTCCCGGCCATGTTACGCATGAGTTTATATAAAAACGTCGTCAAGAGACAACTCGGGAACGACGCATAACATTCCGCAAACCGCCGAGACGGACGTGGTTGCATCGCTCCTTCGCCGCTCTAGCCGGGTGCGCCAGCTATACATCCCGCGGTCCCCTACGACGGCCTCGACCACCCTGTGGTTGAGCCTGTTGACCTTGATTTTGTTGCCCCTGGTCAACTTGCCGCTCTCCGCTTCCATTCTCTCCATCCTTACTACTTTCCCCTCGTTGACGAGAAGTACCCTGTCCTCCTCGTACCTGGTTCAAAGCTTTCCTCTCAGCCTTGATCAGTTTCCTAGGGGTTTTTTTTCCTCCTCACTGTCACTTTCACTGCTACTTTCTTCAGTAACTGGCTCCTTTCCTTTCCTCTTTCCAGTCTTTGCCTTGACCATCATCACTTGGAGCTTTAGCCGCTCCTCCTTCATGCTGGTCATCATTTCTTTCATGTCTGATAAGGTCTTATAAACCTCCTTCTACTGTTTCAGCAATCGGTAGAGGATCTGGTCAAAGTTTCCGGCCAGCAAGTTCTCTCGAATCTTCGGCCAGTCATATCGTCCTTGCATCCCTTTCACAAACTTTCGTTGTTCTACCTCCGAGAAATTGTCCAGGAAGATAAGACAGCGATCCTTGTCTGGGAGGTCAAGAACTAACCGTGCCACCCGCTCGAATTCAATAAGAAACGGCTTCGTCGTTCCAACGTTTCGCCGACTAACCTTCTTCAAATCTGCTAAGTCCAACAGTTGATCGCCCAATTGATACTTCTCTAGCAATTTTCCCTTGAATTCTGGCCAGTCCCGCGAACCACGCACCAATTCCTCCACCTCTTCCTTATACTCAACTTTACAATATCTCTTCACCATTCGCAGCATCTTCTCATTGGACCACTCGCAACAACTTCGCAATTGCTCAAACTTGTCTGCCCATCCCGAGGCGTTGTTACCATCAAATAAAGGAACGTCAACCTTCGGGATTTGCTCCTTCTGGGACTGTTGAATGACCCTCACGAGTTCTCAACTATCATTTCTTCTCTCATCCAGATTATCGTTGTTATCAGCCATCTTGAGTAAAAAAAAAAATCACAATAACATATTCAATAGAAAACCGTCAATCTTTCTGCATAAATAAAATCTCATACCTTTGGGATCAAATTACTGACTTTTTCTGAGGTCAAACAAGGAAAAGAAAATAACTTTTTACTCCATTAATCACCCAAGTGTAGTTCCGCTAGGGACAACGGTAGTTTGTCGTTATCCCCGGCAACGGCGCCACCCTCTTTTTAGCCCATTTTAGGTAGAATAGGTTTAATTTTAACATTCCCATGTCCGCACGGTCCTGCGGCTTTGACAAGCGAAGCATTGTCGTTCACATTCGTTACCCTCGGACGCCACACGTGTCCGGACTAAAGTCTGAAAAACTTTTAATCTCTCAGTCATAGGTCAATTCTGAATAACTTTTGGCAAAACATCAGTCTCATCAAGTCCTCCAATTTTAACAAAAAGGTCGGACAGCGTCCGACATTGAAAAAAACCGGCAAATACCCTTGTTAGGGTTTTTGCCCGACAGAATGATTTCCATCGAACAGCGGGACATCAATCTTGGGGTAGGGCTCTCGCTTAGACTGCCGGAAGATCCGTGCCAATTCTCAAATGACATTCCTCCCATCGTCAACGTTATCGTGACATCCCGCGGCCCCGTCCATCTAGAGACCAAACCATAAATCAAAGAAATCAGTCTAGGAGTTTGGTGGCATCTATTAAGGTTTCTTTCTTACATTTGTAGAAGTTCAAAGATTACTAACCTTTTTTCTCCGACAACCACAAAAACATAACTTTTTACTTGTTCCATTCACAAGTGTCGTTCCACCAGGGACAACAGTAGTTTGTCGTTATCCCCGGCAACGGTGTCACCTGTCAAGCGCATCGGCCCCCGCGCGAGCGAGGGCCCTCCCGACCACGCCATGCACGAGATGCTTAGGCTTTCAACTTTTTTGAGACAACTCGGGGACGACACGGTAACCCGCGTTGACCCTTCGCCGCTCCGGCCGACTACGCCAGTTGTACATCTCGCGGTCCCCTACGACATGATAGGTTCTCACGGGGCACAACTTACCTTCCCTAAGGGGCTGTCACCACCCTTAGGGGCGTATCCCTACTGAGCTACTGACCCACATGCGAAAGCTTTTAGATGCAGTCGCAGAGGTAGATGAACAGAGGGTGTTTGCTCGTTCGCTGTAGCATAGGTACGCGTGGTTGAATGCCAAAGCGGA